GCTGGAACTGGAGAGCTGTAGCAGAGGACAGTTGGAGATGTGTGAGCAGAGCTCAGCAAAGGTCTCAGATGCCATGGGGGAACAGCAGAGAGGAAAAAAAAAAAGCTGATTTTTGCACGTAAGCAGAGTTCCTTCACTCTGGAAATACTTTAATGAAATGTCACTCTGGAAATACATTAATGAAAAGTCATTAATGAAACTGCACCCCATTAGGCTGTTTTATTAATTGGAAGTATCAAGAAATGTCTGACGAGATCAAAGCCCTATAATGACATCTCCTACCAGACCTCATGAGATGTGGTTCCCGACCCCAGTGCTCTCCACAGAGTGGGAAGAGTGGAAGGGAAGGGAGGCCTTCAACAAACCACTGAATGCCCCCACTGGCCCACGCAGAGAGGTCTCCCACACCCCAGTGCTGTGCCTCACCCGCAGGGACAGGCAGTTTCAATTTACTGGATAGACTGAACTTTTAAGAAAAAGTATTCAGGGACAAAAAGCAACTGTCCCCCTGGCTCTCCTGACAAGTCCCTGACCCGCGGCTGCATCCCTACCACCTGCTCAGGCTGACATTCACAGTTCTGAGGCTGGCAAAGGCTTAGGGAGATTCTAGCCAACTCAAAATGCCACTTTGTTTTCTAGAGACACCATTTTCCTGTGTTTTAGACAGTCTTACCCTCTGTTACTGAAAAAAGGTCTGTGTGTGATTCGAGGTCAATTTACTGCACAAAGGACTTGGTTTCCTGTTATCAAGCCTAGACTTTCATCAGAATAAACATCCCCTCACTGCACGTCCTGTAGAGAAATACAAGTAACATGAACAGAATATATCATGACATTCTTGTAAAAGAAACTGGTACCTTATATTTGCCTACCACATCCCCCTTCTCCCACTGGTAAGTGCTTTCTCAAAGTCCTCCAGGGCAAGTTTTGGGTGCTTTCTTGTAAATGGAAGCAAGAGGCCTTGAACCTTCCTGAACTGTGCTTAAGGGTATGTCGTCTCCTAACAAAGATATTTTCCTGAACAAGGTGTTAAATACAGAGCTAAACCATTAGCTGACCAGGCAAGAAAACATCAAGAGGCTTGCACAGAGAATCCAAAACAAACCACACAAAGTAAATTGGGATGGTTGTATTATTTCTGTTACAACCTGACCAAACCATCACTGTCTTGAATCCAGGATATTTTACAGCTAGAGTATCTCAATTCCTATTTTTCTAGCATATAAATGACAAACTCCACAGCAAGGTATTTAGAAGACATCAGAAACTGGCCAATCGATTCTGCATTAGAACAGAAGGTCATTGATGCTCCGGGAAATGCCATACAGGCATGTCTGGCACACGGATACCCAGGGCGGCGTTTCCTATGGAAAACTCCTGTTTGGCTTTGGAATCTCAGCCTCCGCTTAAAGGAAAGATATACGTGCCAACCTGACTTAAATTAGCCTTGGAAACTGCTTATGGAAAATGTGCCAGCTCAGATGCGAATCCCTCTTACTTACCTCGTGATGACAACAAAAGCCTGATGAAATTTTACTCATCCATTAACAAAAAAGACTTTGCTCAGCGACACACGTGGGTGGGATTCCAGCAGGGTGACATTATGCTTTTGGCACGAGGCTCTTGGCCCCCAAGAATGGCAACCCTGTGGCATGACAAATGCAGGCACTCCACTGCAGCAGGCCACAACCACATACTTTACCTGCTGACTCAAGAGGAAGAATGCAGAACCTACAAAAATTAAAGTTCCAGCCAAAATCCCGAGATGGTAATCTCACAGAATAGTTCTCCAGGTAAAGATCTGTGATTAGAATTATACTCATGAAAATACTAGCTGATTTCTAACCACATTTATAGCAAGGTATATCCAAGGTATTTATTGCTATCACTTCAGAAAGCCACTGGAGGAAAAGAAAAAGAAAAAAAGATCACTTAGCTCCTTTGGACAGTGTTACAGTATGATTTTTGTATTACCACCATGGATAGAGGTCCCTCTACGCTCCAGGACAATCAGTGCAAAACTCTTTAATTCTCCTGTTTTAAGCATGAAAGGATCTTTGTTTCTCCTACTCCTATGCTGTGTTTCATTTCTTCTCTCTGCTCTACTTTCAAAACTGAAAGCAGCAGCAAACAGATCAAATGATTTCCTAGATCACACATGGCAGTGGAAATCCCAAAAGAATCCTGTTTTCAGGTGAAAAACGAATGTTGACACCTGTCCATACGGTGCAGTACCAGGGGCCGGGGTTATTTTCTTGTTGAGGACAGTGTATTTAAGGATGTGGTTGAGACAATGCATTTTCCGTTTGACTTCAGTTTGACTTTCAATTTGAAACAGAGATACTACTCTTCTTGTTAAACACTATCCCAGAAACAAGGAACGATTTTCAGAAGCACCACCAACCTGTTTGCGGCTCAGCAGGTTAAGGATATCCATATTATATCTATTAAAAAGCCTGTGGTCACAATAAACAAGAAAGGGTTCCCCTTCTTCTGTGATTTTCTGAAAACCCCTGTGAAGCATTCACTTTCCCCTTACAGAATGTTCCCAATATTCTGGCTTTTAAAGCGGCTTGTAATCTTAATTGCTGTTCATATCTTTGGGAGATCAAAGGGAGGATGTCTGTGATTCTTTGTATTACTCACTGTTACATTAGCACAAAGATCACATATTCATTTATTTTGGTTTAAGAGGTAACAGTCTCCTTTCACTGCACGCACATAATTACTGTAAGCATTCAGGGGACTTGCCAAATGATGCATGGGGGGAGGAGGAGAATCTTTGAAGAAAATTGTTCAAACGTAATTTAGTTCACTAATTGGCAAGGGACCGTTACTAACGAATTGCTTCTGTTTTATGTCAGTAGTGAATCAGGTTGATGATGTGTAACATACATTAAGTCAGTTAATGAGTATTAACTAGAAATGCGACTGAAACACAAGAAAAAGGGTTTTTTACCTTTAGCTAGCCCAGCAGAATTGCTAATAAATAAAAGGATATGTGTAAGTGGCTTATGTGATTCCAATCTGCAGTGGAAAGACTTTTCTTAGAATCTGATGGTAACCACAAGTTTGTGGGAAAGAAAAATCAGACGCTTACTGTGGCAGTTCATCACAAGTTACTTTATTTCTAACCAAGCCTGAAATGAAAATGACTACAAGTCATTACAGTAAAATAGCTGATTAGAAGCCAACGTGAACTGAGACAGTGAGTCTCTGGCCATGGCTACAAGACCAAGACATCGTGCAGTCAACTAAGCTGTGGATTTATTTCGTGGTGTCTGTGTGCACACTCTTACTATGTGGTAACACAAGATAATTTACTTCACTTTCATTGTGGGACGAGACACTTTGCATCTTCCAGCATGCACCAAGCAAGCCAGCGTGCCCCTAAGCCCCATGCACACAGGCCAAAGGCTGATTGTGGGAGCAGCCACAGTCACAGACACGTTTCACTTTCTCCTGCACGCACAACGCAACAACATGACAAGGCTCTGGGTGCAGGCAGGAGTCAGTGGGCTGAAGGAATATGGAGGGCACACGCCCCAACAGTGCCAGGGCAGAGCTTTCAGGTCAAGGCAGGTCCTGAGCTGTAGCTGTCCTGCAAAGAACACAAGCCTCCCATGGATGTGCAGGAGCGAGAGCAAATATCATTACAAAATCTGGGCAGAAGGAAGATTTCTGGTTTGCTCTGGCATGTGAACAAACTGGCTTATTAGGCCACAGGTGCAAAAATGAGAACATAGGACTGAAAGTGAGGAGAAAATGGAGAACTCTCATGTCCTACAAGTTCTGTGAAACAGGCATCAAGCCATGAAACCTGCCAGACACTGCTGCAGGCTCAGGGACAGTCAGTGGTCTGTCTGCCCTGGGCCAAGTGAGGACAGCTGTGGGATGAGCATTAGGATCACAATGCATTACTCAGCTACCTGGAGGTCAACTAAACATCTCGGGGTGTTCTATTTCAGCATTATCTCTACTCAGTCAAGCAGTTCCAGTCGGGCTTTCAACTCATTCTGGCCAAAGTAAAAGCAGAAGAGAGATGCATTAATCCCTACCTCCTGGTAGCTTTTATCTAGTCAAGGAAAGATCGCTGTGTCAGCAGTGAGGAAGATCCCTGATGTCTGGAGCCAACCTTAAGCACTGCCATGCAGAAGCCATCACCCTGCTAATGGTGACAGGGAACCCGATGTGCCAAAGGATTGCACTGGTGGTGAGGCCCTTCAATCAGATGCTCTAGACACTATGGGGAAGATACTTGTCAAGGGATCCTCACTGCTTTCTACAGAGCTGTCTGACATACACCACGAAAGAAACAACATCCCAAACCACTGCTGCTCTTCCAGTCCTGTCTTGAAATGCCTTTGTTGTGTATCTGAAATGTCAGGGATGCTGCTACGCTACTGGGTGCATTACTCTGTTGTGCTCTAGTGCTTTTATTCCCCTGTCACCATCAGATTTGAACACTTCAGGCAATCAACATTACATTGAGAAGAGGGTGCTCTACATTCTCTTCTTCAGTGTTTCAAATTTCAGTATCTCTTTTGTGATGTGTCTAAAATAATGCAAAGGCTATTCCCTGAACATATATTATAAAATGTCTAAGACCAATTAAGATCATTTTACTCCTCTCTCTCCAGTAATAGCCATTAGGTCTGGACAAAGTGCCTGCCAGGCAATCTACATGACACAAAGCACAGCACTTTTGCTCCAAGGGGTACAGAATTTTTTTCTTTTGTTGCTGTTGCTCTCCTTACCTGTACTTGCAATCACAAGGTACGATACCTTCATTAAAGTTAGGTTTTAAATGTGGTGTATTGCAACAGTATTTCTATCACACAACTGCCTATGCCCCTTGGTACATGGTAGGTTGCTGAATAAGCTGATAATACAGTCATAGCAACACCACTTGCAGAGTCAGAAAAAAAAAATTCAGCACCAGCAGAAAATGTGTATAGATTACTTTATCTCTGTATTCAATATAGATAAAAACCCTGCTTTGAAAAAAAAAAAAAAATCTATGCTCCGGAAACAGTAGATAGGATGAAGGTAAACAATCTAGTGAATCATGAGACTTGTTGCTTGCTGGCATTGATACCTCAGAGTTCATCTTGAAAGAGTGCCATTAAATATTGATGACATATTGGCAAAGGACAGTCTAGCCACAGAGGAGGACGCTTAGCTCATGGGAGGGGAGGGATGTGAGGGAGAGAGACAGAGAAAAAGAAGCACACAGACACCGTTCACATGGAATCATAAATCCTCAACTTTAGAACATCAAACAAGTGCTGTTGGTTGACATTGTCATGACAATTATGGTGCTTGGTGTCTCTTCACAATCCAAACTTTTCATTAGACAAATAAACATGCAGAGATACACGTGGTACGTGGAAGAGTTAAATACTGGATGACAGTAAAGGTCTTTACTAGTCAGATGACAATGCAACTCACACCTTCCAAAATGTATTGTGTGTCAGAATTAACATAATTTCCTGTCTTCCAGAAGCAGCTTCTCTGGTTCACTGACCTTCCTTTTCTTCTTGGGTCCTATCACCTCTTCCTGGCTAAACGCAAGGGTCAGGCAGCTTATCTGTAAGAACCACCAGAAACAGTGATCATTCTCATGGTACAGGCTCCTGTTAGATGAGTCAAGAAATACAACTTCCAAAACTACAATGTGTTTTCCTGGATCCTCTTGGGTTTGCTCAGTGTGATCCTGTTCTCCAGAAAAGCAACTGGGCAAGGAATCAAAACTGGAATACTGGATAGGATTGGGACTGTAAGATTTGTGAAGGCAACAGGTTCAGCTGCAGGGACAGAGAATGTTTTTGGTGGCAAAAGGAACAGTACCCATCTCCCCACCACCGACAGAAAATACCAGAAGCAAGAAGACCTTTGAGAAATATAATAGCTTACAGGGCATAGCCTGTTTCACCAACCTCAGATAATCATAAAAGTACATAAAAGAAGGGGGGCACTTATGTCAAATTTGCGGTCACTGGAAACAACCTTCATGAGGAGACATGCAGTACCTCTCTTTGTACATCAGGGAATTTCAGCACGAGTTGGTCAATCCCAGACTTCAAAGACTACCTGTGCATCTGCAAAAAAATAACTAAGCAAAGCAAGCTTTTTTCCAAGAGGCTTAACTTCCCTCTAGAAGGACACAAACCTCCCTCAAAACCATTGAGGGGCCTACAAACCAAAGTGTTAAAAACCACAGATAAATACATGTTAGAGTATAAATGGATCAATGGTACAGGCAATTCAGACAGACCACAGAGAGACGGACAGCCAGAACAACAGTCAAAGTGTTGGTTGTGCCAAATGACAAACTTACTTATCCTCGTTATCACATAACATATTTGCATTTTTACAATAATAATGTGGAGCTGCAGAGAGTAGCATGTGTTGTTGCCCACCCAGAAGGCACAAAGCACACAGTCTGGCAATGTAACCTCTCTTGCTCTCACTGGAACTGAGCTGAAGGGACACACCACAGCACACTGCTTCAACTTTGCCTCCAAGAGAAAGTTCATTTGGATGAAAATAAGGTGAATGAAGAGGGAGAAGAGTGCTAACCAAGTTCCTGCTCTAACTCCAGTTTCACCATAAAGCATGAAGAATCCTGTAACTGAAGCAGGATAAACACAAGGGGTTAATAAAGAGCTATTCCAGAATGCATCCTGGAGACAAGCACAAGGTCTCTAGATTACAAGATGTGGTCATTACAGAATTCCCCACTCACGTCATCAAGGCTTTCTTTCTATGTGACCTTGGTATGAGGCTTCAGTAATCTCTACATAGCAATGGTCTTTCCAATGTGTGAAATAACTCTGATTGTGGATTAACAGCAACATAGTTTGAAACAACCTCACTTTGCCTCTCTATCATGTTTCAAATTGTTTTTCCTCCCCTCTTCCCTCCTCTTCATTATGAGCAAGACAATATTGCTTAATGCAGAAAGTACAATTTCCTTTCCATAAAAACAGAGAAAACAAGAATCTGCTGCAGTGGGACAGGCAGGTTCTCCCTCATCCCGCACACTCAGGCTGACAAAACTTCCAACACTGCCCAAGGCGTATTTGCTTGAGGAAAGAGTGATGAGTAGATCTCTGTGTTACAGCTCCCGACCTGATATCCAGCTGCTCAAACTGGCATTTTAGGCAGTTATTTACTTTCCTCTCCCTGGCATCGTTTTAACCTGTCTGCTTCCTTTTTTGAAGTAAAGGGCCCAGAGGGGGAAACACTGCATCCAAAAACTCTCCAGTGCTAACACAGCTGCAGGGTTTGTACCCTGTCCTGCTGGCCACACAATAAAGCAAGGCAATGATCCCCAGTCACCCAGCCTCCAGTCACCTTAATAAGTCAGCTCTCCTTCTATTTTAGCCTAAACCACATAAAAAAAGCATCAGCGAGAGTTGGTGTGTTTATTTCCTCTATTGAGGAATGAATCTTCTGCAGCACAGACAACCACTCAGTACAGTTTTTACCCCTTTGCTATTCCTCCTAAATTTTTTGCATGGACAGGATAGTTTAGAGGAGGAAGAAACAGTCACAAGGAGCAGCTGCTCATGCAGAGTCCACTTCAACTCTCTGACCACTTTCCTCCCGTTTACCACAGGCAGCATGACCACCTAACAGGAACCTGAGAAGAGTAAAAACATCTATGCAAGCCATCAAGTGCTCTAGACAAGCACTATTCATCTGTTGAATGAATAAGACGTCAACTGTGTGAGGTATTTCACCGAAGCCAACATGTCTTGTCCTGCCCCTGCCCAGCTATAAGTTCACGTAGGAACTCAGCACCAGGAACAGACCCCAAGTCCATCTTCCAGGTCCCATCCTTAACCAAACACTCAAGCTTCTTCCACAGAAATGTTGCTCTAAATGGGATTAAGTCAGATGCTATGTATGTTTATTTGACTTTAACCAGAAAGTAAACCTCTTAAACGGTGTGGTGAAAAGCAGGAAATCCCTCCCATTGATTAAACATACAATCAAAGATTCCAGGAGTTGATTAATTCTGATTTTTCTCATGTACTGGGATGCTTGACTTAGAATAATTGATGGGAGAGCTTGCGTTCTATAAATGTTGGTTCTTTGTCTTACACAACCACTACGGGCCCTCAGCTCCACTGATGAGCCAGGTGCTATAAAAGCACCCAGGACCGGGCGCAGGCCCTCGCACGCTTACCCTGCAAAGGGAACACGCCGACAACGGGACAAGTGGGACAAGTCCAGATCAAGTAGCAAAGACAGGAACAGATCTGTGACCTCCTGACTATGAGTCCAAGGCACAGTTCTGGGTCTAGGTCATACCACGAACACAGAGTGAATTTGAATCTCCTGTTTTACAATACTGAACTACGTGTAAAAAAGTAGTATGTTGCCACAGCATTTTTCTGTAAAAATACAGCTAACTTGTGAATCATACAAGTGTTACTAATTTCTGGCATAAAACTAACAGGACAGCTGCACATTGTCTGGAGAAGATATCAGGCTAAAAATAGATTAGACTTAGATTAAAGCCTTCCCAAGGCAGACTGGTGGATGAAACAGAACGAGCAGACCACAGCTACACTGCTATTCTTAGATAGACAAAATCAGGACCTAGTTTTGTGCTCTGCAATTTTCAATCCCCAGTGTCCCCACATATTCCAGCCAAAAATTCCCAGCATAAATTGAAGCAAATTTACAGCTCTTCTGACATGTGTTTTGCTTCCCAAGGCATCCTATGTAGAAAATTGCACAAGAGCATTCGGCTGTGTCCCTCTTTGTCCCTGGCCTGCCCCATGCTGAGGTTTGGCACTTGGCAAATTTTATGCCCTCAGAAGAGCTCCCTTTGTCAGGGACACAGAGTGTTTACTTTGGTACCTTGTAACTATCCTGACAAATTCAGAAGTGCATTAATGTCAAAAGAAGTCCAGTTCCATCAAGTGAGCTAGAAAAATAAGAACTGAGACTTCACTGCTGAAATAAGGCAAAATGATCCTCAGGTGTCAGTACAATAAACAGTATCTGCAGGGGATGTCTATCCTCATCAGGAAACTTTAATCTGAGAGCCAGTGCCTGATGCATCCTGTGATTTCAGCTGCAGCTAACATTGACTCGATAGCATGGCAAATGCTTGCCACTTTCAAAAATCAAGCTAGTGACTAAATCGATCCTGAGACCTGAGGCATCCCTGTGAACAGCCACTTCTCTCTGGTTGAAGGCAGTAATTCCCACCTACTCACTGACAGCTGGCTGCCCCATGCTCTCCGAGGACAGCAGGTTCACAAGGTACATCACGGTGCCCAGTGAAAGGACAAGAGGAAATGGACACAAACCAAAATGCAGGAAATTCCATTTAAACATACAAACATTTTAATTTTTTTTACTGTGAGGGCAATCAAATACTGGCAAAAGTTGTCCAGGGAGGTTGTGGAGTCTCCATCCCTGGAGAAATTCAACACGTGTCTATACAAGGTCCTGAGAAACCTGCTCCACTTCCCTCTGCTTTGACCAGGTAGGTTGGACATGATCATCTCCAATTGTCCCTTTTGATCTCAGTGATTCTGCAAAGGTGGCACAGGGGTTAAATGCCCAAGGTGGGGCTCACCACTGGTCTCATATCAGTTTCCAGTAAAGCTACTGCACTGACATCAGTAAAATTAATCCTGATTTTCATCTGTACAAGCAGAGGACAATCATGCTGGTTAGCATGAAAGCCAATTTATGCAGGTGGAAGAATGAAAGACATTCAGTGTGGTGCTTCTGTGGAAACTTGCCACATTTTTGTCCCCAGGAAGCCATGCCAACACATCACTGACTACCACTGGTCCTCTTCCTTTTCCATAGATCACTGTTAAAATCTTTGACATTCAATGCAATTTCTTTTTCATGAACTGGAAGTTTCACAGGCCTACTCTGTACCTCATGTATCTTGCAGCATTTAAAGGACTTACGACAGATTTTTCCAAAGTGTAAAAAAATTCTTCAAAAATATCTGTTGAAAAAATATTTATCAATCTCTCTCCTTATAATCTCTTCCAGGGCCCTCAATCACACTGTACGCTGTCATGCCAGCCATTCTGACTGCTGGATCACAATCCAGTATGCTCCCAAAACCAGAAGCTTTCCCTATAAGATTACAGCATTGTAACCGAGGAGGCAAAAAGCAACAGACGCTCCTTCTGCCTACTAGGCTGCTACCCAGCTTAGGCCCTCATGGGATCCTAGACCTGTCCAAACTTAATTTATGCAGATTTCTTTAGAGGGTCTGGTTGAGTTGCTAGCATGTACATTATGAACATATGCAAAGGCAGTCAGTGTGGAAGCTCCACATCTTCCTGTAGATGTCTCTGGGGTAGCTGTCATGGAATCTGAGGGCTCAAGGGTTAAATCTCCCCGGATCCACAGGGTGATGGGCCTCACCTCTGAATGATCACTAGGAAACTGTTTCCTGCACACTAGACTGGGATAACTCATGCAAGGGATGAATGGCCCCAAGATACAGCTAAGGATCTGACGTGAATTGAGAGAAGCCAGGAATTTCCTGACCTCCCTGTCTCACTCCTCCCAGAATGGCCTGAGCTCACAGGAAGGAGAGAGGCAAGCTCATCTCTGAATCTTTCTCCTCATTGTTTGGGTCTGTGTAGCCTCAGCTGGTTTGTAGGAGAAAATGTTCTGGGAACTTCTCATCAGATACAGCTCTCTTGATAGACAGTTAGAGATAAACCTTTCTTTTTTTTTCTTTTCTGCAAAAGTTCAAGATAATGACATTGCCACAGAAAAATGCTTTTCTATTGCTCTGCAAATGGCAGGCTTCACCCTTCAACTGCTTTCTGTCATGGCAATTTTAAAAGTGGTTTGCCTGGGAAAAATCAGACAACAAAGGTCTTGATCTCCAAGCTGTTATTCTGCAATTGAATCCACTTGTGCCGACCTTCACTTTCAGACAGAAGCTGTGTACAACATGGAAGCTCAGCAAAGGCACAAGAACATCCATCAGGGTACCTGTGGTCCTGAGCACCAAGAGGACACTGATCTCTGGCAAACACAACAGATATTACTCACAATTTGCCTCCATGAATGACTGTGTTCAGACCGGCTTCCATCACTGCCACAGCCCCTTGGAGGAAGAGGACGTGGCCAGGTAGCCAAGTCTTCTGTGTGAGGAGCAGCAGCTGGAGGTCAGACAGGCTGTCCTCTGAGGTCTAAAACAGCACTGATTTACAACATTTAGGTATGAGTCTCTCCCTAGACATCTAACTTTCAGACAGTTCCAGTTAAGAGAGCTAATCCGCATGGCAGAAGTATGCCTACAGCAGGCAGTGAATCGCAGTGCAGAGATCCCTGAGCTATCACTGATCCAAACTGGTATGTCCACACAACGCCAAGTGTCAACACTTCCTCACATCCCACAGCAATCTAGTAGCATAAGCAGTGTCTGGCGCTTAGCTAATGAAGCCAGAAACTTGGGAGGCAGAGCTGACTTGTGTTGTTCTGATACGGCCACACCATTTCCAGCTTTGGCGCAGGCTTGGTCAGGGGCGATTCAGGGCTCTCTGCACGGCTGCGTCACTGTGCACTGAGACTCTGTGCTCTAAGGACCACCCCAGAACTTCAGCCCACAGCTTCCTGATGGGAGATAAAACCCTGCAGAGGCGTCCACATGGTCAGATTTTACTCATCTTCTAGTTCTGTTTCATTCCAATCTCATTCCACTGCAACATGTTTGCTTGCATGAAGACAAAGCTGACCAAAATCAATTTGCAGACCAAAAACATTAAAGGATTCATAAGAGGATAAAGGAGTATGCTGAAGAATTCAAAAAACTATCTTAAGTTCAGTGCAGGACCCCATTCTCATCAGCAGATTTCTATAAGTTATACCAATGTGCAGCAATTCCCTATTATACCCAACACTTCACAACTCCTAGAATGCCAGTGGAAAGTAGCAAATGCATAAAGATAGCACACCGAGCCAAATCCTTAGCTGATGCAATCAGAAGAAACTCTCCCAAAGTCAGCAGAGGTAGGCTAATTTACATGCTGGTGTCTAACTCCGGATGATTAAGTACAGAGATGCTTTGCTGGGAAAGGGCAATCTCTCATTTGATCCTAAGTATCATCAATCATGAGATTGCAGATAACAAGCCAGTTGAGTACATGTAAATTTTTCTCCAATCTGAAAAGCCCTCTGTCAGAGACTCTGCATGGCCATCGCTGAAGGCCAGTTACAGTTCTAACTGGACAGGAATAGCTGCTTCTCTTTTGGCAGATCCGCATCCTTTGACTCTCCCATGTTGATTAGATAAAAATAAGCCTTTAATACTTTCATTCCTGGTTTTCCTGAAGAGCTATAGGTCACAAAGATAATGACCAATAAACTCAATTCCAACAGCACAGGTTTTATTTTTGATAACCAGAGAATCAGAAGGAATAAAGCAGTTCAGATGAAGAGCAGGAATGGGCTTGTTCACATTTCCAAAAGCAGCTTGTGACTGTGGGTACCATTTCTGAACTCAGCACTTCTTCAATATCAAGTCCTTGTGCTGATATCAAACTCTGGGACACTCCAAATTGTTTTAGTTAGTTCTGAAAATCTCAGTATGAACGTTTAACTGTACAGAGAGCACCTTTAAACCCAAGCCCCTGAGGTGCTGCCCCATGGACCGCTGAACAGCTAACACTGCATTGCCACCAGAAGGGCAGGTCTCCCTCCCAGCCCCTCTCTGCCCGTTCCTCGCCACCCAGGCTTGCTCGCTCCCTTACAGCAGTGCTGGTACGTCAGCCATCAGCAAGTTCAAAGGGATCTTCTGGTAAAAAACTAACACTCAAACTCGCATGCTAGCACAGCAAGTCTAAGGACTCATGTCTGCCCCAACAAAGAGGCAACCTCCACAGACCAGGCTATGTTGTTCCCCAAGGCCCCTCACAGACCAGGCTAATTAAATTCTGAAATCCAGGAGAAAACAAGACACCTTACAGCTCTTTAAAGCAGAGAGCTTCTCTGAACACACCTGGCAGTTGGAAAACACTGTTTCTTGACTGCACTGTAGTCTGGATAGCAACAAGGTGTTTGCATTCATACCCCAACAGGACTACTTCTACCCACCTTACCTGTACTTGACCCTGTTAGATAACACCTAATTCAAACTTCCCATCCACTCAAGCTTGTCCTCATTTTTAAAGACAAACTTCACTCACCAGTTTGGCTTCCTGATTCAAGTGGAATAGACAATGGTCACTTGTTTTAACCACTTCCCTCAGAAAAGAAGGGAAAGTCCCTCTCATATGGAAAATAGTGTCAAATTTTTATTAGTGCTGGCTTTACAATGATGATCTGCACTTTTTAACTAGTGACTTAACTGCATTTTTCCCTAAACTGACTGAAATATTAGCCAACTTCTAAGCGATGATGGTTTAAAAAACAGTATCAAAGAATACATTAAAAAAAACCCTCTGTCATGCAGAATCTACCAGGCAGAGGGCAAGGGATTTTTTTTTTTTTTTTTTTAAGTCTTTGGAAACATACAATGGATAAAGTGACTCTTCCATATTTCAGCAACTAATGCTGTTTCCACCACCTTCAGACACTCTCACTATTGCTACTGTATTCTAATGAAATTCACATGCTGCAAGAGAGAGGTGTCTGGTGCTCTGCTTACAATCGTGACAGACCCGAAAGAATGTCAGAGCATGAATCAGTGGGACAACCATGAGTTACAAACAAAAAAGGCTCCTGTTTTCACACAGACAACAGAATAAACAATGATCAGAAGGAAACTGGAGGATGTGACATGAAAAAAAATGTGGTTAAAGTTTGAAAAATACCAGCCTAGGCACAGAAGTTCATTTCTAAGATCCACAGTCAAGGCAAATACTTCACAGATGCCTTTTGAATGACACGTTAAGTTGTAGTCTCCAGTTGCTGTCTGGGTTAGACACCCCGGGATTCTTTTCAACAGAGGCGGGGAAAATTTTAGTAGCAATTTCCTACTCTCATTAACTTATCCTGTAAAGATTCAGTTTCTGAACATTCAAGCTCACACGATTTTCAACTAATTTGAATGGGAGGAGGATCAAGTGGCAAGTCTGGTGGTATTGAAAGATTTGCCCTGTCACTGAAAAAAAACTCTGCACAAGCCCATGAATTTGACTTCTTGATTCTGACTCAGGGTTTGGCCTGGGCAGCCTTCAGGATGGAATTAATTTCACATAACTTTACTTATCTAAAATTATGTCTGGTCTACCCTAGTTCTTTGTGTTGCCCCAACAACCTCTGAAAAAGAGACCAGCACCTCCAGGGGATAATTCTTTCTATCCTAGAGAGGTAGCCAAAAAGGGATAGGATCCAGTAAGTACCTGTGACTCACACGTAAAGATAGTCTGGAAACAAGAAAGAAGAAGTGAAGACCATGTTAGGCAACAGACAGACAAACCCTTCAAACCTAAAACGGTGTGGTGATTTCAATCCAAAATTTTAATCCAAAACCACACACAGGTAAACCATCCTGGTTGGGACGGCAACACATTTAGTCTGCATGTGTAATTCACAAGTGCCCACCCCAGAGAACAGTACAAAATTCTTGTACTGGATGCATGAAATAAGATGACTGTGGAAAGTTTCTTCCTAAATGCTTCCAGTTCATGCTTATATCCCTATTCTCTAATACTTTGTAGCCTCTCTGTATTTTGATACTGCACAATAAATCCATTGTTAGTTGAATTTTGTGCCATCCTAGGTGATATAATGTTCTGTGGCAATGAATTCCACCTTGCCTGGTGTATCTTAGAGCCACTAAAACTTCCTCACCTGTTGAGATGCCGTTGAGCAAGACATCTTGCCCATTTTCTTTACTCCTGTCTTCTTTTTTTCACCTACAATCCAAAATCAAAATTAGCTTCGAAGTCAAAACCCTGTATTTGATTGAAAAAAAACCAAACAGAAGCCTGACCAAACCACTGTAGCAAAATCCCATGCCTGATCTGAAATAGCATAACCATTGCTCTTGAGCACTGCCAACACTGGCAGTTTATTCCTGGAAATAGATTTCAGAATAAAGTGTCATCCGAATGTGCAACACATCAACTTGCAGTAGCTCCTATCAATTATACTTAAACTCCATTTTAACCTGGTTTCTAAGAAAACAAAGCTTATGCCTGCATATGCTATGTCCAAGCGTGTGTGCCTACGGGGAAGGAGGGGAGCTGTCCTGTGACTAAAACAATTGACCTTATTAGACAGTTTCAATAAAATTTGATGGGGGTCCCAAAGCACCTCAGTTTCATGGAAACAGGCAACTGGTTAGAGGAGGAGGATGCAGTTAATCTCCCCAGAGTGGAAAATGTGACAGTACGAGTTCACCCCTTATTAGTCATCGGAGAATCTGCAGAAGAAAGACCTGGAAAGGTGACTTCATATGCAGACAAGCTTCTTTATTCCACTGCTTGGGGATCTCAGGAATGCTATTTACCATTTTGTCACTAGATGGTATTGTTCCACAGGCTATAGCTGAGAGCCTCAGAGGTCAAATACAGCATGGTATATCAGAAGCTAGGTTGGCTGAAGTGAGAGAAAAGGCTTTTTTGCATTTATTTTCATGTACTTTTTTTACATATGGAAGTCATTAGCAAAATCAAACTGTAACTGCCAAAGGAAAAGGGCTTTGGTGAAAACGTAGATAATGTTACTCAGTATTGATGAACTGCATTTCCTCCATATCTGAAAAAAGCTGCTGCGATAAAGAGGTGGAAAGATATTGATAAAAATTTGAATGTTTCTGTTAATAAATCAAGCATACAACAAACCCTTTATTACAGCTCAATCTGATCTGACACAAAATTCATACAACCTAACAAACTCTGTTTATCCATTTCAAACTAAGTGAGAAAACCTATTATGGCTAGATAACAGTCATGAGCACAAGCTCCTTCAGTTTTGAAACTAGGCCTTTACCTGTATCTTGAAGGTAAAAAGAAGATGCTTCTGTTTTCCAGCCTGGATGGGTGTCACTTTTGCCCTCTTCACGCTCACTTGAATCTGCTCTGACAGGGAGGGGGTGATTCTGTAAAGCAAATGATGTTTTGTCATAATAGCATAACCTAAAAAATATGCCCAGGTGGTAAATCCATAAACCCATCACTAATAGGGATGAGATTTTCATAGCTCCTCAGTGTCCAGGCCTTCCTTCTCTCAAGCCCACAGGTCTTTCAAGAGAGAAACTTTCTAAGACAAGAATGAATTCTGACCTAAATGTCTTCCTGTTTTCAGAAGTTAATTATGTTGGGGTTTATTCCCTGGTACTGACCACCTAAAATTAAACTGTCAACTCTGAGCTACCAGTCCAGGCTGCTCCTTCTGCCATTTTGAGAGAGGCCCCACCAGAGGACCCTTCATTCCAGCCTACCGTGGTGTCTAAGGAAATTACCCGAATCACCTGCTAAAGCTGCTGCCTCCTCCTCCACTAAGCTCAGAAAGAGGCCTAGAGAAATTAGACACAACACACAACTTCTAGATGCCTAGAGGTAAGTGGAAGGAATCTCACCTAACTACACAGCGGAACGTGGCTTAGTCCTGAGAAATGCCAAGTGGAAATGCAAAATTGTTTGCAGTTTTCTCCATTTTGTGCATGTCTGTGTATAAGTGCATGTGTGTGTGTGCACACACGCATGTGTCGGGTCTCTCCGTACAGTCACTGCCCTCTTCTGGGAGAGCACACCAGACTTAGAAAATTGGTGGGTACCCTGGAATGAAATTAATTTTATGTCTATGGACTTCCAGCCTCAGAGTTCAATCCGTTGTAGTGCTGCTGCCCAACACAACCTGCAACCCTTATTAAACTAGGATTCAGAGAAAATTATTCTCTTAAGGAGAGTTTTACTAGATAAACTGTTTCTCCAGTGAGAACTGAACAGAGCTATTTCTGTACCTTTGTGCCCTCCTCCTCTTCCTCTTCATCGCAGTCTAACCCTTGATGGGAGATCTCAGTAGGGCCATTCTTCTTGACCAAGTTGCTCTCAACTGTCTTAATTCTCTTCTTTTCAGTTGTCACTCTCACTTTCATGAGGTGGAAGCCAGTGGAGACTGACCCTACTCTCAGGTTGACAGGATCACCATCAAAAAACAGGTCACTGGGGCTGCCATCTGCCTTAAAGCCAGGGGGCTGGTAATCTTTGGGAGTTACTGCACAGGGAGAAGGAACCCACTGATGTCAGAGAAATCAAGTTCCATCTCACCTTAATCTGATTTATATAGAATAAGTGTATACCAGCCTTGAGTAACATCAGCTACTAAAAATATTCTGGGTTTTTTTTCAGGAAGAAGGGAGAGAACACAAAGGAAAAAGTGAGCTGATCAAATGTTATCAGGGAGCTCAAAGAAAGAATGACTAGGATGCTGAGATACCATTAATGTGCTCAGCTTTCTGAAGCAGAACCTGACATTGCCTGTTCCTTAAAAAAACAAAACCAAAACCCAACAGTAAAGGAGAAGGATGTCTCCTTTTCACACTGCATGGCTGTATTTCTTACATGGATGTTGAAACCTTTCTTAAAAAGCATCTGTCGTCCCCATGTGTCAGAAGACTTTACTGTGTTTTACACCATTTCTCACTATTATCAGCTAACAGCTTCTACCATTTCACCTTTCTATGCTCTATATACTTTATAGGGGCTCACAATTATTATAGAAAGTGATGGAAAGGGAATTTTTCCCCACAGCATGCACTGTTCTCCACCTACCATCATTGTAGTAGAGGAGTTTCATGGTCAGGGTAATGTCATTGGGAAGTGGCTCGAGGTTTTGCATTAACAGGTACAGCTTACGGATCAGGAGCCTGCTGGCCTGTTTAACATCCTCGCTGCACACCCCATTCACAAAGTTCATTTGGTTGCTACAATTGGAAGAAGAATAACAGATTTGTTTTCCTCAGTCATGAATATTCACGATCTAATTACAAATACAGAGCACCCACTGACTCATCTGAAACCAGCAGTGACAAAGCTACAATGCCTTTATGTAATTTCCAGATAAACAGGGAAGTGAAACAGACTCCAGGGATGGGGTGGCATCAGCAAAACAACAGCTCTAAACTAAGAGGCATGCCATTTACATTTGAACAGATTCTGTAGCTGGGGCACTGGACCCCATTATTCAAATGTCATGACTCACTTGTTTGAACATGATTAAATTGGATCAAAGGACCATAAAACAAGTGCCTTTCACCTAAGCAATTTCAGGAATGAGAGGAATGAGGTGAGAATCCCATATAAAGCCGATTCATCACAGGGGCTATTTTCAAGTCCATTTTGTAGTTTGAAGAGAAGTGAATTGCATGTTCTCACTTCAATTCCATCTAAGAAAAACTAGCTCAGAAGCACATTTTTCAAAAGTGACTAAGGGGCATTCCTCTCACCTCCTTCACCCATCCAAATGTCAGCTGGCTAGTCTAAGCAAGCAGTCTAGACTGAGATAAACGTCTAACAGAAGTGGGATGAATCGCCCTCTGGAGGAGTTTGTTCCTCTTGACTACAGTAGATGAGATGAGCAACTCAGATCAGCCAGCTAACTTGAGACAGTAGAAGATGGACTAGATGAATCACTGTGTGACTAAGGAACCTAAACTTCCTTACCTTTCTATGAGAAGGGGCCATTAAAAAAAAAAAAAAAAGTAGGTCCTTCATTACATCTCTGGAAGACCACTGCCTGCATGGTCCCTAACACAATCATCCCAAATTGCTTCAAAAGTAGTACGTAAGCTAAGAAAGCAGAGGATCCCAGGGCTAAATTTGACTGATTAGACCACTGGAAGGTACAGTGTAACTTCCAGTTGAAGCTTCTTGGTTTGTCATGGAAACAGAGTGGCTGTGGAACAGCCTGACCTCCTAGGGTATGCAGGGCATGGTTTGGTAGGCTCCCAACTGCCAACAGCAAAACTGGGCTGAGAACACTGTGCTATGAGATGAAGTACTATATGTTCAGAAACGTACATCAAGTGAGAGGACAGATGCTGGCAAGGCCTAAGATGGAGTAAAGAGAAGGTAGGCCTTCTCTTACACATCACCTTTGCAATCTTGGGATTAGAAGAATAGAAATGGTAAGGAGAAAGAGTATAAGCAAAAAAGAGATGAGACTTCCATAGGAATTAACAGGTCGACTACTGGTTCAATACAGGAATAACACTGTGGATTTGATGCAGGCACGTGTCAAAAGGTAGAAGCTGAGGAACTGAACCTGGATTGGGATCCATGGTAAGGAATTCCTCCCAAATCCATCTAAAATAAGGCAGAGATCATTTAGGAGAAAGTTTCCATTTACCCTTCAGATAGGATGATGCAGCCCCACAAAACATCTCTCCTGGAATGATTAACTCAGAGTTTGCCCATGACAATAAACACTGCAGGTGTATAAAAGTAGGGTTATCAGCTGAAGGAGCTGATAACAAAGATGACACAATACTCTGATCAATGCCAGAACGTCAGTTCACTAATGACTGCAGGCACACGCATGATCCTGTGATAGCAGTGTCAGTCACTGAGGAAACAGAGCAGAGCTCAGGAATCTGATGCCACGGGCTTTGAAGCTTCAGAGCAGTAATGAGATTTTGATGGCGCAGATAGAAACACAACAGCAAGATTACTTAGCCTCTCCTCGGCCAGCACGATGGACACAAGGGATGCTGAGTTTCATCTGGGGACTGTTGTTATTTCTAGGAACTAATGACTGATCTGACTACGGCTGATTAAAAAAACCAAAGCAGTCAAGAGCCATCTATTAAAACCCAAAGGTCTCCTCTTCCCCTCAGTGTAGTGAGGACAGCAGCTTCAAAGCAGAAACAAAAGGTACAGTCAACAGGACACTAGACTCAGACATAGTTCAGATTTTCCCAACAGAAAATCATTTTGTCATATACTACAAATTATTTTGATGTGTTTAGAGCAGCAAATGACACGCTACAGCTTTGCAGAGGAGTCTTCTGAGAAGCATCCCAAATAGCAGAGCTCTGTTGCTGTACAGACAGGTTCCAAGGCCCAAAGATCCATCTTTCACCAATGGCAACTGCAGAAGCAAATTATTTTTCTTTGCTTTGGTTATACCCAATTGCCTTTGATAGTATTTATTTTAAACTACACAAGATTATGGCCTGCTAAACACAGCTTTAAAGTTTCTAACAGACAAAGCGAGTCAAAGAAATGCAAAAAGCTGCTGCTTCCTGCCCACATTTTGCAGCATCAAGTCAGGCACCATAAGTGAAAGTTCTCTGAGGTCACCCATGCAAGATTGCTCAAGAAGAATACATGTATGCAAAGCCCAAGGAGAAAATATATCCTGGGTGCGGGATCATGGTGAAAGGGATCAAACCTGAAAAATCTTCATTTGAAAGCACAAGGGTCTCTTGCGAAAGTGGAAGAACACTCATTATTAGTTGAGACAGTAGCAAGCTCAACAAACAGTGCTGGTTTCTGCACTGCTGCCCTGATTAGGCACCATTTCTATAAATTGTCTTTAAGTCAGTTCTGGTGGACTATAAGTGCCTCACCGTGCTACATGACAACATTTCTGCTCATCAGCTCGGCAGTTCATATCCTGTAGGGTGACCATCCTCAACTCAGACAATATTTACAGCTGCTTAGCAACTCAGATATGCTCTAATCATAAAGTGTAGTTTCTTCTTAATGCTTCAAGAGCATAGTTTTCAGTGTAATTCTGAGAAATAAAACTGAAGCATTACCTGATGATGTCCATCTGGGGCACCTCCTTTTTGTACTTGAATTTGAATTGATACAGTTCAGTCACTGTCTAGAGATTTAACAAGAGAGGGGAAAAGAAGAAATGGGTCTCTTTCAATAACAAGTTTAAAGACGCATACTGAACCTAGCAGTGTCCTTTCACAACTTTATGCCAGAACACATCATTAATTTAATGACACAATGATAGCTTTAACTCTTATTGCTTGCACAGGCTTTGGCAAATTTTCTTAACCACCATAGCTTACCTAGCACTAAAAGAATCACAAAAAAAGACAAACTTCCTGCTTCTTCCTTCCACTTCCTCTGTGGGCCTAAATCTCTAAAGAGGCACTGGGGCTACATCACAATGTACGTACGTCCCCCCTTACTAAAAGGAAGAACGTGAGGCTTCACGGGTGATGCAATGTCACAATAAAGCCTGGCCCAGAGTTCTGTACGGAGACAAGGGCCTGAAAGACTCTTCCTGCTAGGAAATACAAACAATGCTGCATGGGCAAAAGTTGCTGAATTTCACCAGTCTCAAGAGTTTTCTGCGGGAGATAAAAAAACTAGATGATTTTCCATTTAAAAGGAAAGGATTTGCTACAAATTTAGAGAATAAAATAATTAGGAAGAATGGACTGCTTCACCACAGAGAAAGGCTCTATTGTAGTCCAATTCCATGCCTATAATTCAGTTTTTCCAGAGGCAATGAGGTCAATTAGTAGGAGCTGAGCTGAGCCCTTAACTCTGAGCCTTCCTCACAAATCCCAGCCTTGGTACAGACTAAACTCTTGCTCTCTCCCCAGCTCTGTGGAGACAGCATGGATGCAGAACTTTGCTTATCTGTCACACTACCCAGCTCGATGCAGACAAAACAGAAACACAAAAGAGAACACTAAAAGGATACGAACAGGCGTTATGCAACATGTACATCCCAGGTCTGAAGTGATTCCTAACTTCTGTCCTAAACCTCTCTGCATGAAAAAACAGCTCTCTTTTCAACACTGCTGTTAAAAACATGGTTCATGAAAGAATTATTTTGAACTTCCTGTTTCTTCTCTTCGGGAAAGAAAAACAAAATTGTGAACATGCCCATTAGTTGCCTGTTAACATCCCTGCCTGAGGCCCTAGATGGGCCCACAGCCTAGTGCCTGGTAGGAGCGTTTGATCACAATCCAGCTCACTGAGCTGTCATTCTTGAGTGAAGGCAGAAGAAGAGAAACAGGGTCACCAAGCAGCTATGTGAGGGTAGAATTTAAGCCTACAAGTCCACTCTGAATACAAATCTACTCACCCATGCTTTCAGTTGCCTCAGAGATTAATTAAGACTTTTTCTTACCTCCGGTTCCTTGGGATTGGTGTAAATCTGTTATAAGAAAGCACAGTGAGTGCATTCTCCTCTTGGATAGCTTGAACCAGTGAAAAGTGACTAAACAATGATATTTTAATTTTACAGCAGAGTTTGTACTATCTTTAGCGTGGGATTAGAGAAAGGAATGGCTGAGAAACTGCCCTCCTCTATCAGCAGTCAATACTTACCACTTCAAAGACAGGTAGAAGATGCTCATCTGTGTAACTGTGTAGGAATGAGGTTAATTCCCATTCCAACCCTCACAGGCAACTATGGATGCCTGAGATTTAACTACTCAGATTATGCACAGAATAGATGCATAGCATAGCTCAGCCCTTGGTGCTCTACAAAGGAGCAGGGCAAAAGACTTGCTATGTAACGGCCAGTGTGTGGTTTCTTCAGGATCAGGTTAATAAGAAGGGCTCTTCTGCAGGGGAAAATGGAGAAGACACAGCAGCTTCCAAGGGGGGAGACAAGAGTTTAAAGGAAGTGACAATATGAAGCACATGAAAGCACTTCTAGGACTTTAAGGATGCATGTAAGGCCGCAGTCAGACGTCTGACATACTGAGAAAAATATTCCCACACAGCCTCGGAAGTTCGTATGTACCATATTTAAGAAAGGTCACCACTCTATTAAAAACCACAAACATTTTTGACTTCCCCTTAAAATAGGCACAAATGGGTTGACAAAACCTTGATTCCGTATCTCTTTCAAGCAGGGTAGGGGAAGAAAACCATGTTGTATTTGTTTACTTACTGCAAGGACAGCAATGTGTAACTGTGGAGGGAAAACCAAACCAAAACACAAAATCAAATTCTAACCTTAGTGAGCAAGGAAAAGACAGACCTATCAAAATCTAACTACCTACATACAATGAAGAAATAGATACATTCAACAAACCAGGAGTTAAAAATCTTATGCAGATTCTCCATAGCACAGCATCAGCAACACCTAGTGGCCAGTTCGCTTGGCTTTACTTGCAGTTTCCCAAGAAAACAACTGCATGTGCAGACTTCTCTCTTGAGCCTCTTTCTAAACATATCTCCAAACCCTGTGCCTATTTAAAACTCTCTTACAAGAGCACCAATCCCTACTGAAGACTAGTATTTTCTCTCTGCTATGAAAATCCCCAAAGGTATTTTATTTATGCAGCAAGAAAATGTACATGGGACTACTCTTGAAAACAATCCTAGAACATGGATTAAATATATCTGTCAAATATGAATTAATTTATGTCTCTCACACATAGCAGAGGACTAAATACCTCCTAGAACTGTCAGCAAGCAATAAACTGAGTTCACAACATTCTGAATTATCTTATGCACACCGACAGTTGTACTGATGCATAAGAGCCCATCTGATCACCAGTGCCAAAACTAACACCACTTCATCTGATCGAGATGAGAGTTGGTCTGATGATCAGTGCTGATAGCGATGACAACAGTTGGTGCTTTTTCCTGTGCAGAGCAGTTTTTATGTGAGAATCAGTGAGGAATATGATTACTTACTAGCTGATTTTGTCCCAGAACCTGTTATATATGTTACTTGATTAATTACTTTCAAAAAAAAAAAAATCCTGAACCCAAGAGGAAAATCTAGGAGAGTTAGAGAAAATGAGAAGAAAGGAAAAGACTAGGGGAAAGAAGAAGAAGAAAAGCAGCAGCACAGAAGAACCTCTCCCAAGAAAACAGGCATGGAGATCAAGATCTCAGTTCTGACTGGCAGTGTCTCTATCCAGACATTAGAGAACGCAAATGTAGAACAGAGAGCTAAGGGAAATCACACACCATTTACAAGTAAGCTTAGACAGCAACAGTGGTCAGTATTTGGGATCAAGGAATAAAATTCCAAATCTCATGTGTCCTCCCCCTGTCCCACAGCTGTATATCTGCATTGTGTGCATTCAAGATCACTACAAAAATATAAAGCAGGAATGGAAAGACAATTTTGTCCATAATTCATGAAGAAATAGGAAACTGCATTTAAAAATGTGAAAAAAACTCACATACTGCCTCTCCAAAGCATCAAAACAACCTTGGATCCTGCCAGGGAAAAACATGTTAATATTATCCAGCAATATTTATCTCCTGATCTGTAAACACACATTAGATACACTTTAAAGTGCATTTTTTCTGGAATTAAGACAACACAGCTATCAACATTTTGGGCTTGTAAAGTCCTTTTCAGGTCAACCATCATAAAGGCACTGTCCTCCCTTCTGCATTTGTGCATTGTTTATACTTGTAGGGCCATATCCTGTCAGCCTGGAGACCACTTAAATCCAGATGAAGACAAGGATTCAAGACTTAAGGCTGGCTCCAAGTGGCTCTCTGCTCAGTGCTCTACTTTGGCTCCCCAGCTTGCTCTCCAATGGCTCTTTTCCCACTGGCAGTGTACAGAATTTGGCTGAAACTTCATTCTGAACAGAGCATGACATGTCTGGTCTTGTAAATTTTTGCTATCTGATGAAGAGTTTACAGCTACGGATTTTCTCAAAGTAGTAAATATTATTTGAGGTCGCAATGGTCAGATATTTACTCTGAGTCAAAGGATGTGCAGCCAGGTATCTCCTTAGCACATCAAAGTCAGACTCTCTGCTTGTTGAGAACATGCCAACTCTGAAATACATCCTAAAGGAAGCTGTAAGGTACTTAGACATTCAATATTCAGGGAGATAATATATCGTACCTACTAAAAAACAAGCTACAAGAATCCCTATAAAAGTTAAACTAGGAAAGACTAAACAACAGAATCGATCTCATTATTTTCTTTACCCTCTGTACCTACACTGCCTGTGTGCTCTGGGGCCTGACCATGACCTCACTACAGCCAACGCTTCAACAGACCTTGGACTCACATGATCCTTGTCAGCTAATTCTGTCTTGCTTACGCACAGGGCCAAGCACACACGCTGCAGCAGTGGGAGCTGCCCTGGCACAGCTGGTAGTGCTACTGGGCACAATATTTTCAAATTCAGGAAGAAGAAGAATGCAAGGGGTAGATGTCTTGCTATTCAGCACAATCTTGTCTTAGTTTCGCTGTTACTCACTTACCACTTGACTATCTGCAATGATCCCAGACAGTTTTTATCTTCTCGGAGAATTTTTAGACAGAGGTCTGCAAAACCAGATTTAGCACGTAGTTACAATCCTTATCACAGTTGTTGGGCAAACACTGGAACTAAGCCAGTCACCCTCCCTTTTCTGGATAAAATGCATTATCTGGAGGTCCTTCCTGAGCGGAAATGTTGGTTTTCCACTGAGTCCCAGGTGGGCTGACACAAGCTTATTGCTGCATTTTCAAATGTCAAGACTTTCCTAAGATGCTCTGTGGCTCTCCCAGAAAAAGTGCTAGACTTATGGCTTGATTTTGAAACACCACAGCTTCTGTCCTCTCCTCCCTTCTCTTCTCCACTCCCACATATTCCACCAACCCCTAACAACACTTTGAAAGACCTGACATTTGCACAGAAAGGCTAGTAGCTTTTCAGGGTTAGGTGATCAAGAGCCAATTTTGCATTTCCCATGCCCTCAACCAAGTCCACAAAGTACAGTGATCAGGTTTCAGGACAACTAAGTGCATAAGTGAAAACATGGAAACAGATGGGAATGCATGGAGACATTTCACACCTTACCAACACATCCTGAATGAACACAGAAATATTGATGAATCAAAGTATCACTAATCCTTGTGATGTTATGACAAGACTTTAGTTCTTAAAGTTCTTTTATTTCTTAAAGTTCTGAAGCCCAGGCACATGCAGCTATGTGAGATTTTAAGAAAAAAAAACAAAACACAATAAACCAAACAAATCTACTTTCAGTCTCACAGGAAAGCTGAAAATGTGAATCTGAAGTGCTCAAAAGTACAAAGGAAAATAAAACACACCAATCAGAGTTAATTTTTTTAAAACTTACTGATTTTTAAGTCAATCTCCTGACTCTGAGACCTGATTCATGGGCTGGCAATGCCAAGGAATGATCATAAACCAAAAGAAACATTAACAGAAAAGCCACAAGTTGTCAACAGCTCTAGGTTGTCTTCTATGCTATCTGATGCAGAAGCACTGTCTGCATCCAGACTTGAGAAGGCCTGATAGCTAACTTCCTAGTAAACTGAACTCAGAAGTGCATGAGCAGCTGGAAGCTAACGTGTAAAACAGATTATAGCTAAAATATAGCAAGGAGAAATAAGAATTCAGCACAAATTGAAATGTTACCATCTAAATAGCGAGTTCCATAAGAGCTTTCCGGGAACAGCCCTCTCATGTATGTTATACAGGATACAGAGATGGCCAGAAGTCTTTTCACCAGCACCACAGACTGCTGCTCAGTAGCAATTTTGTTGGGAAACAACACTGATTCCTGAAAAAGAAAGGCATAGCAAAAAATAGCACCATCTTAGTGTCACAGGGATTTTATTTACAAACAACTCTCAGCAGGTGGAAAAAGGGGGTAACGTAGAAATGTAATTTTAACATTTCTGTGGTCTTCATACTACACAGGGAAGACAGGTACAACTCGAGTGGGATGAAATGTTTTATGGATAGTTATCAATAAATCTGACAAAATTTACTCAAATTAAGACTGCACTGGTTTGTCATTCCCTCCTCTTTTATCATGGTTGAACATTCCCACCCCCTCTATTGCACCAATGCTGGCACTTAACAGACAAACACCCCTAAAAAAAGAAAAGTATATAGTTTTCTGCCAACTTAGCTCTACAGAGTTAGTTGTGGAGTCAAACAAGTGCCAGTGCTGGTGTGGTGTTCACTGATGTACCAAAGTTCACTGCCTGTCACAGCTTTTTTTGAGATCTGACAGCAGACAGAGCCTGTCAACACTGTATGCAGACCTAGTTTTTAGAGTGATTTTAACTCAGAGTTGTAAACAGTACATGTCTATGACTGGAGCTAATGTAAATAATAACCACTGTGTGACTTTAACACAAACAATCTCAGCAGAAAGTATACTAAATTTAGTTCATCTATTAGTTCATTGCTTTTCTTCGTGCTAAAAAGCTCTGTGCACACCTAATGAGCCTACATTTATTTAGTCAAATACATGTCAGAGCCTCGTGCTGTATCTTCCTGAACTCATTACATTGGAAATAATCGAACTGAGAACAGTGCAGACAAGAGAGAGTGTTCCAACCTCACCAGGCACAGATGTGCCAGGTCCAAAACTGAGAGCTAAGATTGTCAGTACCATCACATTTCAAGGTTCTTACCGTAGAGGGCTTTTTTTTTTTCTTAGTCTGTAAAAGCTGATGAGTAGCCATCCTGTATTTCAGAGACCTGCCTTCCACTTGTAATTAAAACCTGAAAAAAACCCAGAAGATATGAGACACCTGGAAAATACGCAGTCACTTTTATTTCTCATTTTAAACTAAGCATAAGATTTTTCAGCTAATTGCCAGGCAGGTCAGCTAACGCAAAGCAAACCAAGGATACTCCATGGCACTGTCTGAGAGCCTGCAGAGCAAGAAAATTCTCTATTCACTGGTAAACGATCAATAGTATTTGAAATTCAGGGCCACAACTGTACCTGGTGTCAGCTGGTGCCACTTCAAAATGCATTTCTCATATTCCAAACCACAAATGTTAATTCCTACAACCATTAAAAGTGTGAAGGGGGAATGTGAAAGAACTGGAAGTCTGCCAATAGCAGCCAATATTTTAGCAAGCGTAAGCAGGAAACGCACTAACATCAATCTTGGTGGGAATAAAGGAATGATTCTTCTGGGACACCTTGAAATGAAAAAAAAAAAAGAGGGAAAAAAAGAAAAAAAAAAGGGAGAAGTCCACATTGTTTCCAATGAAAGCGGGCCCTGTTAGACAAGCCTGGATTAAAGAGGAAAATATTCTTTTTACAAGAATGGAAAGCTAATTGATAAAGGCAGTAAGTGGACATTACATGTTTCGCACTTCAGTGAGGTGCTTGATTTAGCACCGTCTGGCATCTTGATTAAAAAGTTCCATTAGATGGAATTAACAAAGCGCCCGTTAACTAGTTTGAAAAATGGCTCGCTGGGAAATCTCAACATGTAGTTGCTAACGGGGAGACACTGATGAAAGGAAACACCACAAACTGGTCCCCAGAGAAGCACTGCCTTGTCCGCAGCCAGTCAATATTTCTATTAACAAATAAAATAATAGCATAAACACGGTGGGTTGATTTAAATCATGACCTAAGGCAGTGAGCAATGGACTTTTATCAAAACAGTTGATCTAATCTTGTTCTGCATTTGTACCTTTTCAGCTTTTTTCCATGAAATCCTAATTTCCATTTGTTGGCAGTCATTAAGACATGTTGATTGGAACATGTTGACAGCTTTTATGCTAAATTTAGCACTTCATTTAGTAATGAGGACAGATTACAGCTACAAAAGTACATTTAAACAAATATACACCTGCAAAATTTTTAATGTTAAATATTTTAGGAAAGTGTTGGGTTTTTTTCTCTCTCATGATTGGCTAAGCACTGTGAACATGACTAGAATGCAATTAAAGCAAAGGCATTACTCCAACGTGAGGTTATTAGCTAAATAAAGCTGATTTAAGCAAGTCAGATAAGAAAACATGTTTCCTACAGCAAACCACATTTATAAATGATTTACTGTGCAAAGGAAACATCCCCTAGATTGAGTTTATCTACTCTGCCCCGGGTGTTTTGGTACAGAGTATGCTCCAAGGTTTCAGCATCAACATCTCACCCTCGCCAAGCCTGCGCTTGTTCCTGGCCTGCGAGAGAGGGAAGAAGGTGCCCTGGCTCCCCACAGCTCATCCACTCGGAAACCCCTTTATCCCCGAATATCAGGAAATAAGTATGAACTGGCAAAAACCAAACCTCTTCCCCAGGCACTCGTCCGTCTCTGGGGACTTCACCCCCTCAGCCCTGCGCCCACACACCGACTGCCCCTTATGCCTGATTTCAGGCGATGCGAGGCTACAGCAGGCCCTCAAAAAGCAGCCACGGCTCCAAACGTAGTTTTAAAAGATGTAGGTTTTGTTCCTCCTGTTTTGGCTTTGTTTTTTTTTTTTCTGAGGTGAAGCTCGGGCCCGGCCGAGCCCCCTCCGGTGCCGGGTCCTGCGCCTCGCCCGGCCGCACCCGCGGGGTCCCTGAGGCGCTGGGGGTCCCTGAGGCGCGGCCTCCGCCTCCTGCCCGCGG